GCGTGGTCTAGCAGATCGCAGGCAAAACTCTACCCTACCCCAGACAACGAGACTATACCCTATCCTAGAGAGGATTTCGCATGACTGTGCAAAAAAACAGGGTACGTTCGTGCTGTGTCCGTACCGTGCCGTAGCCGTGATGCATTGGAAAATCTTTACTTTCATTTGAAATCCTAGAAGACGAGGTTCCGTGACCGTGCCGTGCAGTGTCCGTGCCGTGTCCGTGTTGTTATCCGTGCTTTTGCACAATTGTCATACGAAATCCGCTCTAGACCAAAAAATACCCTATCGCAGACAAAACTACTACTCTAACCCAGACAAATAGGCAAAAAATGATACTCTTTCCCAGACTTATCCGAAAAAGGGACCCTATCCTTCGGCACATACCCGTATAGCAAATATATACCCCCCACTCGCCGGGACTGCTAAACAATGGATTCGAGTGGTCTACTGAGAGAGAAAAACTCTTATTTTGCTCTCCAGATGAAGCTCCTGTCGAGCTTCAAAGCTTTTATTGATATGTTTTGATAAATACCTCAACAATTAGKTCTTGGTTTTCTCCTACACCTTTTATTACATAGACCTTGTTGGGGTTATTGCTTGGCAGGGTAAATGCAAACTCAATCGTCGGCGTCGATTTGGACGTCGCAGCGGTGACATTGTTTGCTGTAAATTGAACTGAAAGTAAAAAAAAATAGTGGAAGGTCTTGCAAACTAGGAGACATTAGAGCGCTTACTCGGGCTAATCACAGGATAGTGACGCCATTTCTTGCACAGTTTTGATTAACAAAAAGCCAAATCAGTAGTAATCACGTCCATTTTTCAGTCACCAGGATAGTCACCAATATTAAAGCTCAATATAAACTCAAAAAAAAAATTGAAGAGTTTTAAGCTCAGCGCTTGAACCTAGACTGAACTACTTTAATAATTTTATCTGAACGAAAACCAAAAATAAGGAAAAACTCCGTTAAATCAATTTCAATTATTTGCTCAACAGCTAAAAAAATGTTAGTTATACAGTCTTTTCTTAATTGAAAATATTAGCTCAAAATCGCAGTTTCGTGGATGCTGAAAAGTTAACGGATATCAGCGCAGCTAAAGGACAGTCTAAATGAGCCCGCAAACACTATCTGGGTGATTGATTTGCGACCAGGCCTGCATATGAATTCGCCAAGGTTGTAAGCCAGTGAGCCCGTGCATTTTTGTGAAGCGGTCATATTTGAAAGTGTWAATAAAGAAAAGGGAAAACCCGCAGCTCGCCTTTCACTCACACAAACAGTTCAAGTCGTGCCGAATTTATTTACATAACTAAACAAAATTATTATAGAAATAAAACTTTAAGTATCGGAATGCTCATATGAAACATTTTCCACCTTAAATACACACGTGTTTTTCAGAAGGGAACTTTTTTCACGATGGAATTTTGTTTTGAGTCGTTTCGACATAAACAGTCGCTATCAAGACATTACACGAAAAACCCCAGTCATCGTTCTAGCTCTCGTTGTATAGTAAGTTCAAAGCTAGTAAATGTGTAACTGACCTGTTACATAGCGTCAAATCGTCGAGCACGCTTGCGGCTTATTGCCGAAAATGCGACAAAGGATGAACTACGACAGTTGATTTGTACCAAAAATATTAAACGCTTTAACTCTATTGGAATAGATGGAGATAAGTTGCTCTAGCTCTTCCAGTAA